CCGGGGGTGGGGGGTGGGGGGGGAGTGAGCGAGCAGCTGCATGGTGCTCAGTTGCCGACTGAGGTTAAACCACAACAACTCCCTTTGAAGCTGAAGGGGGTTGAAAGGCAACTATTAGCCTGTAGCCTGATTGGAATTGGAAATACCCGATTTAGCTGAGGGATTTTGCATGGTGCAAGCTCAGCTAAAGCTGGGGAGTAGATTATTTTCTTCCAATTAATGCATATTTCCACTTTATTTTTGCCTCAGTAAAAGAAAGGGACACTCTTGGCTAAGCTCTTTGGAGTCATCAGAACACATCTCTGCTCTGAGGGACTTCAAATGTAAACAGACAGGACAGAGAAGTGGAGAAAACAAAACGTTGGCTCCACCTGGGGAGCGGGAGTGTGAAGGTTAGTGACACGCTGGCTGTTGGTGCAGAATCGTTTCTTCTTGGGAGCTTTAGGGGAGGGTGTTGGTTATTTATTGGAAGTGATGCACATCCACACAGACTCTGTGCATCTCCTGCTTAAGTAGTTGAATTGTTCTGCTGTGGATTTAACTGCATTGCTTCCTCTTAGCTTCCTACTGCTATCCTATAGTCTGCTGGCTCACATCTGAACAATCTTTTATTCTAATTTTCTGTGTGTCACTGTTCCACAGTCAGCTGCAGAGGATGCACCTGGAGTGCTTCTCCAGAAATATTTGCGTTGTAAATAGGTGTAATTTGGTAGGAATCTGACTGACTGGTGCACTTTGCATTTCCACATGGTCCTGTACTAAGGTTCTGTACTTACTAGGTCTCTTGTGAGAAAAGCAGGTTTTATTCTCTGAATTCCCATAGCCAAAAATGATTCTTGAATGTATTGCACAATTATCACTTGCATAAGTAGCATGCATCTATCTTTGCAACTTCTGGGTCTTAATTACTCATTTAAGTGTGTGGTAGAGCCAAGAACTACCCCCAGATTTTGTGAGGTCTTTGGTTTTTGGCCCCATGGTACATGGCTAGGGCAAGCAATGGCAGAGATAACGTATCATGAGCACAAGTACTTCGTTCTTTTAAAGCATGTTAAAGCTGTCTCTCGAACTACTTGATTTGTACTCTAAAATGCTTCTGTGATACATGAACAGCAAAAATACACCTTTTAACAAAAGTTAGTATTTCTGCACTTGTGCTTTGTCATTTCAGGCTCTCAGGACTTATTCTTGTAACAGTTGACAGTTTTTCACTGTTTATCTTCTTGCAAATAGGGATTCTGTAGTACAGGCTTTCTGCCTAACAGGTTATCTTTACAGGTTACTGTTTCTGCTTAATTTGAGACAGTTCTTAAGGATCTAACGCTTCGAGCTGTTTTAACATAAGTCTTTGAGCAGAATTTGAACTAGTGGTGCCAGCTAAACTGCATGCCACTAAAAATACTTTAGACTTGATTTTTAGCCTTCACGATGCTGATGCAATACGATGCTCCTTGGGCGCAACCTCACTTGTGACTTTGGGATTATCTCTCTTTGCACTAGTGACAAAAGTAGGTACTGCTGTTAACTGTGACTAAGGAAGTTCATTTTCTTTATGTATGTTTTTTGTTACATCATGTTTTCATGTCTCCATCATAAGCCAGTATGACAGATGCAAGTCAACGCCGATTCCTAAAGGCACACACGCACATTCTCACTGTGCATGTAAATTAACTTGTTAATCACACACCTTCTCTTCATTTAATTAGTAAAAATACATAAAGGAGATCTGCCAGCTGTATGATTTCATACTAAGTGCAAACCAACCTCAGTTATTTACCATTGCCAGTTTGTTACTGTTTTACACTTAGATTTCAAAAACATGACAGGTTTGTCCTTTTCAGTCAGCTGCACTTAACAAGTTACTTGGGATTGTCATTGTAGTATTTTTTAATGAACTCTTCCTCTGGGGTAGGCAGCTCCCCACCCCTCTGCTTCTGATGCAGCCTCAGCTGCATTTTTTAAAGTGGTGCTTAAGTCCTTCCGGGGCTGTAGTTCTATATATTGCATGGGGAGTCCCTGTTTCTGAGGAACTGTGTAGTTAGAGTCTTTCCAGACTCCTGAAAGGTGGCAGGCTCATGGTGTAATTCTGTGACTTTTTGTCTCTTCATACACTAGTCAAAGGACCTGCTGTAGTAGGCAATAAACTGAGCCTGAGTTTCATTTGTTATCTCCAGTGGGACTTCACTATAGTACTGAGACTGTTCCTGGTTCTGATCTTAGCACCTGTGGCCTTTGGCATTCTTTGTGACACCCTGCAATGGCAAGTATACTTGTGAGTACATAAGGCAATTGTGAGTATGCCTCATTTTTCATGAAGCTTTGCAGCACGTTGATCTATTTGTTGGATTCTGCAACCAGTTCAAACTTGCCAAGGATATTCTTCCATGGTTTAGTCCGTGAGTTTTTCCTACAGTCCCTGTTTTATTCCTCGTCTGGCTCCGTTTAGTGAACTTCAACCTTTCTCTACTTTGTTATTACAAAGGAACATAGAACTACACTCATCCTTATTTGAGTTCACCGAAGTTTCTTC